GGTAGTGGGTGAGCTGGAATAGGGTTGACACCGCTTACGATAACTTCATCAAGCGTCTCTGGACAGGGAAAATGTGAAGATGAATTTAAGTCAGCTACTCCGTCTGAAATAATAAGTACCTCTTCAGTTTCATCAACCACCATGACTTCATTCATAAAATCTACTTTAGATGATGAAGTCAAGTCGGGATCTGCAGAATTTTGCTTGATCGGCGGCCAACTGCCATCGTAACCCATACTACGATTGACCGTATGAGAATACTCTGGGACACCGTCATTCTTTTTCCGAAGGCCTTCAGCAGACTCATCACAATCTTCCTCGTCTGAATGAAGCCCAACCTCGGCCAGTTCAGCAGACTCATCATCCAAGTCAACGACGCCTCGGTTTACTCGGCATTTGAGACCTAAAGTATCAACGTCATCACATTCTGCCTCGAGGCGCCGATGTTTGCAAGCCTAAGACAAACGAGTGAAGTAACGTGCATGAAGGCTTTTTCACAAACAATGTGATTATTAAAAGTGGAATGAGCAAACATATAGTTAAACAAGAGGCAACAATAGGGCTAATAATTATTTCGCTAGTGCATATGGATTTAGTATTTATATGTTGAATAATGCTATAAATAAGCAATGCACAGCTGCAGGGAATAATAAAGATAAATTGAACTCGTGTGTAATAATATAAGTTAAATATGTGCACTAATATATAAATACGATTCGTTTTTTTATTAATGAGATACACAAGTGCCTACAAAGAAGATGAAACACAAATAGGTAAAAAATTCTAACATTTAAAAACATAATATAATTGACTTGGTTTGTCACAAGTAAATATGGCTTTTAAGCAGAGCTAAAATCCTAAATACCATAATTGGTAAAATATGGTGTGCATTTTAGGTGAATTGATGTAAAACATTATCAAAGGACATAAATAGAATACGACAAAACCAAGACAAAAAAAGGTATATATTATTTTACCAACACAGACCTCGGCACCATCATCTTCCGCATTCCATTCATGGTTTTCAAAAGTCGATTTGTCTATTGGTTGAACTTCATCTTCCGTGTTTATATCTCTCATTGCAGTCCTCAAAGTAAAACTCCTAACTTGACTAGATAAGGTGAGAGAAAAATCGTAATCATAATGAGAATAGAATAGTGTGTAAAGCTTAGGTAGCACGGAGGAAAAGTATGGGTCAATAAATTCTAGAACGTATAAGAAAAGAAGATCTTTGGCATCTAGGAAAGGACTAAAATCACTCAAAAGTCTCGAAGAAATATTATTATAAACTGCAATAACTAATTGAGTACTACGTATAAATGAATAAGAATTTATGGACATATAGGAAGTAGATAGAAAGGCATTACATAAATATTTGATACATAATTAATTGTGCATTAATTATAATAAAAAATGTTTAAAAAGTACTTTCTCTGTAGTTTATCATTTAGCTCAGAAGATATTTGTGTTGCCAAAGCAGGAAATAAATGTCGTTCAAGAAAGCGTAGAACTGCTACTGGACGAATATACGATCGATCTGCGTAAGAAGAGCCAGGCTGTAGTCTGAACTCTAGAGTACAAGAGTCCGAAGAGTAGTCGACTTCAACGCCAATAGGAAGTTGAATCGCCTAAAAATAAAAAGCATAATAGCGCAAAACGAAAGGTGATTAGAAGAATATATTTAAAAATAGAAGTCTACACGTATAACACGAAGGATATATGAGAAATTAGCAAATAACATTGTTAAGGAATAGAATTTGTTTGACCTTGTTTTCGCAACTTGGTCATAATAGTAGGAAGACTTATAGAAACGCACCTTGTCTTGAGTCCACTGTAGCATAATTATTTCCAAAGTCGGACCGTGGACATAGTACATCCCCAGACGTTTCGCCGGCATCGTCAGTGAGTT